TACTTAACCCCAAATAAAAGAACCCAATAAAATGAGTTGTTAAATAATAGTGAAGTCACGTTGTAATAACAATAACTCATCTCTCTCTCGTTTTATTTTTGAGCTTTGCCAAAAGCCACTGTATCAAGTGTCCTACTTGGGTTGCCGTACGGGGTTGTCCAATATGGCGGACCATCTCGCACATGCGCACTGCAGATCGGGTAATGACATAGGCCAATGGAAATGGACGCTGCCATCCCTAGAGTCATACCACTAGCATATCAGATGTACAAATTCCACTTTTCTAAGTTTTATATATTATTGTAAACTGATATATTTGAGTTGTCTGCCAGACAAAACAAGTAATGATAAGATGTCACCCTGTAGTTACAACCATATTATGTTATTTCCTATGATTGTTATAAACAATATCACAAGAGTCAAAGCCCTTGAGTCTCAGCATCCATTGACAAATGTGACACGCAGCCATGGTAATTGCTCCTATGGAGTATCTACATAGACATACTGTCCTTTCAACTCTAATTCTACTGCCTCTGTTTTGTTTTCGCCCCTTGATCTGATAAGAGCCCAGTTGGGAACTTCTGGTCCTGAACAAAGACCCATCTGCTAGTAATCTTCTCCACTGTAAGCACTCCTGCCTCCTGATAGCATGGATAAAGCCCGGCACGCATTATGGTAAACGAATAGGCTATTCAGTGAAATAACAAACCGACACTATCTTTCCTGAGGAATAATCCACCAACACAAACACACTGAAGGAGAAAAAGTCTTAGGCAAACGGCAAATGGTAAAAGGGACGTGTTGTTTGAGTGTTTGTGTGTACAATCAACAAGACGGACAGCTGCTCCATAAACAGAGTGACAGGGGGCTCTTCCTACTGAACAGGCTGGATAAATATTCCTGGTGGTGCTAATCAATCACCACTGAGCAGTCACAGCGGGTCAGAGGTGGGCCTGGGTGATTGCCGCAATACAAAGGAAAGAGGAAGTGTAAGAAGTTTTTTTTAGGTGGAGGAGGGACAGCAGGAGGTTTGATTAGGGGGGGGGGGTTGGCGATATGTCATCAAGTAGAGACTAGAGGACTCAACTAACCTATTTACAGCAGCAAATGAACCTTCTACACTGCATTTCTTTAGGGAATTACATAAGCTGATTATGCAGGGGAAGTTAAAGAAGCCCCAACAACAGATTATACTGGTTTGTCTGCATTTGTGAATAATGTGTTTAACATTTATCAAAAGTGATACAAAAGCGAGAGGAAGTTGCAGCACTTTGTGTGCCTGGGTGGAAACTATCCATTTGTTATCTTTTGTTATCCGATTGTTAGGATGTGATTCAGCTGCCTTACTCACATTATGTCTGGATGTTTGTCACTGATGTATTACAAAGGCCAGAGGACGTTGGATGCAAAAGGAAAGGATGTCTTAGTGATTACAAAAATAGGCTTTCGGTATTAATATAATTAATATGGGCCCTTTGAGTTTATATTTAAACTGCCAAGTTAAATCCGGGTGAGGCAAGAGTTTCCCAACTCAAGACGACCTTGTTCTAACTTGATAAGAAGAGGAAATCCACACTCTACTGCAGCAGTGGTTGACAGATGGACATCAGGCCTGCTCCTTCTAAAGTAAACGCTACTTTCTCCACAATCATTCTCTCTACATCCCTCCCATGCTGTCCGTCAAACAGCTGAGGCCCCCAGGAGCCCCTACAATGACTTCATTGACACCACAGCGTCCCATTAATCTTCATTTGTCCCATCATATCCTGCCATTGGTATGGAAATGCCCGCCCATCTCCGGTGTGAAGTGACAGTCAGCGTCGGTGGTGGCAGAGGGGCGGTCAATGCGTGTTGGGTGCTCGAACCGTAGGGGGTTCCTATCTGTCCATTTGGCAGCTTCCGTTCCCCAATGCATGTCACAGGTTCCTTATTCAAATGACTTGAACTTTGCTAAACAACCACACACAGACACACACTCGGTAGGGGGTGCGGGCGGGAGGAAGTAATCTGATTTCTCAGCTGCCCGGGAGACCACTTCCTGAGAGGGAGGCTTGTGGAAGAACGCCTGGGGTTTCCCATCTGTCCACCCAGGGGTGTGACCCCCTCCCTACTGTTAGGAGTCTCTTTCTCCCTCTCTTTTCCTCTTTAAGCATCCTTTTCTTCCTCAGATCTACACACACATGCCCACAGACGGTTTCTCAGCCGCCTCACCGCTAATGGAGTTTGAAATGAGACGGCAACCAGTTGAAGAGGTGGAGGAAGTTGCTGTCATTCCCCCACCACAGCGATGGATCAATTCTCCACAAGTGGGCTGGGGGGGGTTAGCCTAAATTTGTAAGTGGAGGATTTCTCAAAGAAGTACTGACACTAGAAATCCAAATAGATGTTCAAAGCGGTTCACATAAAACAACTGCAGATGCAACGACACTGTAGGCCGCTTTCTAAACAAGGATAAGTGAATGTTATGTATAGAAAAAAGTAGAGTAGGAAGAGGAATGAAAAGTAAAGGGAGTGGTAAATGTAAGAACAGATATGAAAAGTATGTAATGGTTTTAATACAAAACTGCAGTTTCTCCTTTCAACTCTCTTGACTTTAAAATGGTTTTCAATTGGAACACATTTTTTTTTCTCTCTCAAGAATTAAGCCAGAAATTGGAAAATAGCTATTTACACAACCACGCCAGACCCTCTATGTCTTACAATCCCAAGAGTCAGAACTAAACATGGAGAAGTTCAGTTACTATGCTCCAAATATCTGGAACAAACTCCCAGACACCTGCAGGTCCGCTGCAACTCTGACTACTTTTAAATCCATCCTGAAGACTTTTCTTGTTGCCGCTGCTTTTAATTGAACTATTCATATCTTAAACTGCACTGTAACTTTTATTCATGTATTTTTTCTTTTAATGTTTATTTCATTATCTTTGCTTTTTAATGACTGTTTTTAAATGCCATTTTCTGAATGTCTTTCATTTGTGTAAAGCACTTTGAATTGCCTTGTGTTGAAAGGTGCTGTATAAATAAACTTGCCTTGAAATGAACAGACAGTTATGTTGCCAATGGAATAATTCAGAGAGTGTTGTGTTGTAGCGATTCTCGTCAGCTGTGACAAGGCGGGTCTATAAAAGAGGCGAGCAAACCAAAATGGATGAGTTTTGTTTTGAGGAAGCGGAGACGCGGACGGACGGCGCGATCGTCACGGGGGGGGAAAGACCCTCTATTGGCTGCACGGAAGCGGGTGCTCGGCCCCGTTGGATCGCTGTTTCTCTCTGCTGCTGAGAATACGATATATCGGCAGTTTCTAGCATCAAATCGACGAAAACTAACTGAGAATACCACTTACAATGAAATACAGAAAACGACCTGGTTCCTAAAGTTCCACGTACATTTCCCCCTTGGAAAGGCAGCTATTTTGTTGCCATTGCTTGTATTTTTCAACACATTATAAAGGATTAGTAAAATGTTTGTTAAATGTAAAGGATAGTAATATTGATATTATAGATTTTTTTTATAATTGATATCGTCCTTCATATTAAAACATTTAAAGTTAATGTTAAGTGAAGGAAGAAACAAAAGACAAAAAAGGGAAGAAAGACAGATGGCTGCCTGAGCAGGAGCTTAAGAAGCGCCGCGACATTCTCCTTTCCTGTGTCCTTTTTGACAAGACACAGACTCCGTCTTTGATCAGCACTCAGGAAATTTCATTAGGACGGAGATGGGTGGATAAGAGACCAAAGAAAGCTTTTGTGGATGGGAAGAGGAAGAGATAAAAGGGTCGAAAAATAGAAAAAGGGGGGTTGTAATGGGGGGAAAGAAGAAAGAAAGAGGAGATAAAGGAACTTCCACCTGTTGTGCGTTATCAATCAACTGTAAAGGCGGTGAAACTCTGCTGCAGTTGTTCATTAGCTTGATCCTAATTACTAACAACAACCTGATGTTCACCATCTTGGCTAATAAGGATAGCATGTTAGCATCTGTTAATTAGCACTAAAGTACAAAATCAGAGGTCAATTGCAGGTCCTGGATATCTGTTTCACATTTAGAGGCCATCCATAGTATAGTTGAGAAGATTTACTCGAGAGCATGTAAAGGTCATGGTTGCACTAGTGGAAAAGTCATAGGATCATCAAGGTAATAAGGAGACATCGCCTACAACAGATGCTGGTGTTCTTGATAAAACACATCTTATTCATGGTTTGCCATCAATCAATCTGTTGAGTCTCCAAATGGAAACAGCCATATCTTTAGAGTTTATTTCTTGTTCCTTTTCAGTCATGATGAAACCTGAATCAATCTCTTGGAAGGTGTATGAAAGTTATTTGGCACCACTTAGCCAAACTGAACTGAACCAAATGAACAGAAGCGCCAAAATGACTTCAAACCTGAAAACCGAAACCAAACGAGGTGTACAAACGCGTCCAATCTAAACGCACCAAAACAATGCAGTGACAGAGAGAGAGTCGAGGACAGACTTAGGTGACCTTTAAACTTATCAATCAAGTACAACAGAGGAAGCGAGAGAAAGGAGGTGACAAGAGAAACAAACACATGACATCTTCTCAACCTTATCAATCAAGGACCAAAGAGGAGGAAGGAGGGATTAAAGACGTCTGTTTACCTTATCGATCATGTCGGGTCGGTTGGTGGCGGCCAACACGGTGACGTCTCGGAGCTGCTCGATGCCGTCCATCTCTGTCAGGAGCTGAGCGAGGACGCGGTCGCCGACACCGCCGGAGCCTGAGGAGCTGGAGAGGAGGACGAGAACAGAAGATAGATGAGTGGACATGGTCGAAAGACAGGGAAAACAACGAGGACATTGATGTGGCGATGGACGATTGTTTGGCAGGATGGATGATGGAGAGGGAAAGGAACATGTGTCATTTAGTCAGAAACTATACGGAAAAGGAAGTCATTGATGGTAAAGTGATGAATTACAGAAAGATGATGGTTGAGTGGATTGGCGGCAGGATGGACAGCATACTGTTCTTGTACATATCCCATATTCTATTGACTTGTATATAAACTTTTTGTTCAGGAGCTCAGGTCAGAATAATTTCATTGCCATTTCGACACTGTACTGTAGCTTATGTGCATATGACAATAAAACCTTTGAATCTTGAATCTTAACATAACATGGGTGGAAAGAAGACATGTGTAGAAAAGAGAAGCCTGTCCCTAGAAACGATCGAATAAGGCGTTTGTATTAGCACGATATTATGACCCATATTTACGCTTATATTATTTACAATCTCTAGTGACCGTAGTAATTGACCGTGAAGACAATGAAGAAGATCGATGTAGGGTGAGAGGAAAAGGGAAAATCGATCAAACACACCAAGGACTTTTACACAGAAGGTTGATCATTGCGTCCATGTTGAGTTATGTTATGTATTATGTCATATTTTTAAGATGAGTAACATCACAGACAGAGATGTACCCATTACTAAGATCCTTTTCTAAACCTAAAAAAATGGTTCTCTTAAGTAAATTGCTTTATTACCAACGTTAACCACATGTTAGAACTGTTACGTTACAACTGTCACGTTACAACTGTCACGTTACAACTGTCACGTTACAACTGTTATGTTACAACTGTTACGTTACAACTGTTACGTTACAACTGTCACGTTACAACTGTCACGTTACAACTGTCACGTTACAACTGTCACGTTACAACTGTCACGTTACAACTGTCACGTTACAACTGTCACGTTACAACTGTCACGTTACAACTGTTACGTTAAAACTTTTACGTTACAACTGTCACGTTACAACTGTCACGTTATAACTGTCACGTTACAACTGTTACGTTACAACTGTCACGTTACAACTGTCACGTTACAACTGTTACGTTACAACTGTCAACTGTCACGTTACAACTGTCACGTTACAACTGTCACGTTACAACTGTCACGTTACAACTGTTACGTTAAAACTGTCACGTTACAACTGTTACGTTACAACTGTCACGTTACAACTGTCATGTTACAACTGAAACCACGAACTCCTGTATGTCAGATTAGACGGTAGAAACAAACAACTCGTGTCTTTTGGGGTGGAGGTTGTGGTTGTAGCGAGAAAAGACAAATGGGATAATGGAGGGAAAGAGAAAGAATGAAACTAATGTATGTTGGATGATTGAGTACATGGATGATAGAAATATTTAGCAGCATGCAATGTCCTGCTCTCCGGAGGGCAATTCAACACACTTTACTCATAGGTCACCAATATTTGCTGTATCACGTAATGATGAAGATTATCCAGTTCACGAATACTTGAACTTCTGAATAGTTTCACTGACACTCTGATGGCAGGTTCTTTCATTAAGGCAATTTTTTCTTCAGGAAAGGAAAGGCTTTGGCTGAAAAAGTGAGCCTTCCTGCCAATGACGTCCCAATGAACTGCAACGCTCAAATAAAACAGCCCTACTTTAGACAAAGTTCACAAACATGTCACCTTGTTTGGACTTGTAAATGTAGTGCTTCTGTTCTGCCAATATAGCGAAGTTTGGAAAAGCTAGACTTTATCCCACACAAGTATTACTCTATAAGATCAACATAAGATATTGCGTACGCAAGATATACCATTGAATGTCACAATTCTTTCCGTTTTCATGAACTCAAACTAAATGTTTGAACCAAGGCTGTGTCATTCAATCGCAAAGCATCCGCTGCCTCACTTAAAAAGGTGGAATCTGCAATTTTGGTGGACAGATTGTTGATATTTGAAATCAACAACCAAACCAATTCTCCCATCTGCATGTTTACCATTTCTTCATGTTTACATATTTTACCATGCTGGGTCGTGGCTGAAATAGTTATCAGCTTCGAGGCAAAATATATAACGCTGACATTAGATGTCTCATTATTAATGACTTCGGCTAAGTGTCCACGTAGGATTTGTTTTTTGAAAGCGATCTGATTTGTGTGACCGCTCTGAGAGCTTTTAGCTTGAACATTTTGAACTTTAAGAAAGGAACTGGACTCCCCAGCACCTTCAAAGCTCTTGTCTGCCAGAAAAAAGGAATATATGGACACTGCCTTATAGAAACGAGTATGAAATAGTCTGCCTCTTTCTCTCTGTCTCATATTCAAATGCACAGAAGTTTGATTGGCTTGACCAGATCAAAACCAAAGTATTGCCAAAGCACATTGTACAAGGTGGTACAACACTAACATATTTCAGAAATCATGTTAACAATATTATTTCATTGAAAATCAGATCGAGAAAGAAGGTGATGGATATCATCAAGCATCGTCTGTACGTGTCTCAGTCCTCAATCCTGAGTTTAAAAGTCAAAATCGATTGAAAAAAAATACATGTAATTATTTCCAAAATACACAAAATGTTTGCATCTAACTAATTATTTGCTTCGGTCCATATATGTTGGTGTTTATCCTTTCAAAAATAAAATGTTTTACTGACCAAATCATAGGAGCGTCATACAGATGCCTATTTTTATTTATTTATTTAATTGTTGTACTAGTGTTTTCCTTCTTAAAATGTTTTTTAAATATTTTGAGATGTGGTTGAGCAGGGTATATTTGTACTAGTCCTTTATTAGAGATGTGTCGGTTGTTTGTGTTTGTTTTTAGTGTCAGGATGGAACCCTTGTCTTTTTCTCTGCAAACAGAATCTACCTACGGGTACAAATAAATAACCTGAATCTGAAATGACTCGTGTGATTTTGAGAAATCATGTCATCCGGTGCAACTGTGAGGCTCATTGATGTTTCTTTTTCAAACAGAGCAACAACCTAGTATATCAAACTGTGCCTCTAGCAGCAATCATTTGACTACAATGTGTGGCCAATATGTTATAACACATAATATCAGCATCCCTATCCTTTAAGATACTCATCATCGCGTTAGTCAGTGCGTTACAAGGCGGTTATTTTCCATAACGCAGTGCAGACAGCCACCCTCCTCAGCTCAAACACACACAGCCTCTGTTGACAGGCCAGCGGAAGTGCCAGACGTCATTAGCAGAGACAAGGCCGCATAGGAACACAAAGGAGCTCTGTCACTGAGATATGAAGGGAGAAAG